GAATGGGGATTTTGCAATATCTTTTCTCTAAAGTGAGGGAAGGAATGGGGATTTTGCAGTATCCTTCCCCTGGAGTGGGGAGGGAATGGGGATTTTGCAGTATCCTTCCCCTGGAGTGGGGAGGGAATGGAGATTTTGCAGTATCCTTCCCCTGGAGTGGGGAGGGAAGGGAGATTCTATAGTAACCTTCCTCTGCCACACCCACCAAGCCACGCCCACAGAACCAGTAGTAAAAAAAAATTGAATCCCACCACTGCAGTGGATGTACTTTGGATGGGAGTGGATATGTTGGGAGGAGCTTAGATTTTTTTCTCTGTTCCTCATTCATTCATTCATTCATTCATTCACGAACCCCGTTTAAGCATCCATGAACGACTCTGAAGAATTTGTGCTGACAGGAAGGACTTACGGCCCTTCAAATACAGTTAGTCCTCAATGTCTGTGGAGATTCTCAGTCATGGTTGTCCCAAAGGTGCTTTTTTGAAGGAGGCAACTGGACTTCCTGGTTTTTCTTCGAAGACGTTTCACTTCTCATCCAAGAAGCTTCTTCAGCTCTAATTGGATGGTGGGGAACAGAAGGATGTATATTCCTTGCATACAGCTGAGGTTAGAGCTGAAGAAGCTTCTTGGATGAGAAGCGGAACGTCTTCAAAGAAAAGGAGCTATAGTTCTAAGCTAGTTTTCTGCCTCTCTCCCTGCTGGGCTGGGCCAGTAGAGACTTAAGATTTCAGCAACAGACAGAAACCTTCGCAATTTACAGCACGCTTATATATCCCGTCGGTTCTGCAACCAGACAGTGGACTGAGCAGGCAGCAAAGAGGCAAGCCCTGGATTTGCCGTAGGAAAATATCAGCCGCCGTGATTGATTTGTCTCTGGCGTTCATTCATTCTGATCTGCCGAATAGTAAGCTTCCTTAAAAGCTCCAGAGGGGAAGGAAAATAGCAGGCTCAAACCCTTAAGAGAGTTACTACTGACTTGCTAACCAGGGTAATAATTGAGGAGGCCGTTAAATAATTCAGCAAATGCATTCTCAGCATTTGCAGCTCATTAAGGGCCCACTGGTCCAGGTTCACATGAGAAGGGCGGTTTTTCATCCAGAGCTCTTATACGGAGAGGGAAGTTGACTGTCGCGGGACTAAAAGCCAGTTTGGCGGGTTGTCCTTACAGGTTGGATGAGACGGTTGAAGCGATCAGCCTCGGCTCGCTGGTCAAGGCGAAGCAAACTCCGGACGGGAAACTTGAAGACTTGGGAGTCTTGGTGAATCCACACATTCTTCAGGCAGCTCCTGTGGTCAGTATTTTTTCTCTTCCTTCCTATGAAATACCCCCCAATAATCTAATATCTGAGCCGAGGTGGCGCAGTGGTTAGAGTGCAATGCTGCAGGCTACTTCAGCTGACTGCTAGCTGCAGTTTGGCAGTTCAAATCCCACCAGGCTCAAGGTCGACTCAGCCTTCCATCCTTCTGAGGTGGGTAAAATGAGGACCCGGATTGTTGNTCCCTTTCTTTCTTTCTTTCTTTCTTTCTTTCTTTCTTTCTTTCTTTCTTTCTTTCTTTCTTTCTTTCTTTCTTTCTTTCTTTCTTTCTTTCTTTCTTGTCTCCTGAGTCTAGAAAGAGCTCTAGAGAGAATTATTTTTTTAAAAACCTTTTTTCCCATATTAAAAAATGTTTCTTATTCCTGGGTAAATATGCAGGGATAAACATCAGTTTCTGTTGAAAAAAACTGGGAAGATGTAAAACTGCCTCTACCTGTTTGGAAGATCTCAGTTCTTCTGTCCGTCTCCTTGGTTATCAAGCTTTTTAAGGACTCGCTGCCCTTCCGTCTCATGGCCATTTCCTCTTTCTTTGTTGAGGCTCATTCTGAGACCCAGGTGGGCCCAAAGATTGACCCAGAATTTCATGTAAAGGTAAAGGTTCCCCTTGCACATACGTGCTAGTCGTTCCTGACTCTAGGGGGCGATGCTCATCTCCGTTTCAAAGCCAAAGAGCCAGCGCTGTCCGAAGTCGGCATTACTAAACACCGAAGGCGCACGGAAGGCTGTTCCCTTCCCACCAAAGGTGGTCCCTATTTTTCTACTTGCATTCTTACATGCTTTCGAACTGCTAGGTTGACAGAAGCTGGGACAAGTAACGGGAACTCACTCTTGTTATTCGGCGCTAGGGATTCGAACCGCCGAACTGACGAACCTTTCTGATCAACATGCTGAGCGCCTGAGCCATCGGGTCTCTAATTTCAAGTAGTGATTTTCCAAAAGAAGATGTTCTTTGAGTGACATGTAAAGAAACCCACGGGGGAGGCGGGCTCTGTTTCTGACCCTTTCCTTTTCTCCCACAGGGTGGAAGGCCGAATTTGGTACACATCCCACAGAGGCCGGCTATGGATAGCAGCCACAGCCAAAAGGCCAACTCCCCAGGAAATCTCAGAGCTAGAGGCCACCTACAGAGTGTTGCTTCAGGAAGGTGAGCTTAATCCCTTTATCTTTGTTGCTGGAGTTAATTTCTCTGGAGGCCAGAAGGAAAGTGGGGAAAAAAATGTTGAAGTGGAATACTTTATTTGGCCAAGTGATTAGACACACAAGGAATTTATCTCCGGTACAGATGCAGCACTCAGCGTGCATGCAAAGCAACAGGGACGGTAACAACAGTAGTATTCCACATCTGCCTATCCCGATATGTAGCCAAAAAACCCCAAGTCCAGGCTGAACATCTGGCTGACTGCGACGAACCACAATAAAAGAGAGAAGTAAAGAAGAAAAGGATAAATATTAATACTAAAATAGCAGGATATGGCTTAATACATGTACACACATTAGATACAACTGTGAGTATTAGTAGGTGTTCAGCAGAGTGATGGTACGAGGGGAAAAATGGTCCCTTTGTCTCGTTGCCTTGGCACACATTGCCCTACAGTGCCATCCTGAAGGAAGGAATTGAAACACTTTATGTATGATTTATATTTTTTTTTACTTTCATTTATTGTTTTTTAAAAATATGTTTTATGTCTGTCTGTACCTTAAATAATAAAGTATTATTATTTGGGGGGGTGTTTTAAAAATACAATTACTATATGTATTCTTTTCTTCTCTTTTAAAAAAGGAGGAGGAAGATATATGTTAAAATTAAACATGTATATTGAAAAGGAATTATAAATACCATAAAATAGAGGCTGAAATACACCAAGTAAATGAGAGGAAGAGTGTGAAGTAGAGGAGAGGGGTAAGGGAAGAAGAGAGGGACAGGAGAGAGGGCAGGGGGGGAAGAGGAGGAGAGAAAGGAGTAGAGGAAAGGGGAGAGAAGAGAAGGAGAGGAAGGGGAAGTAGAGAAGAGAAGGACAACAGAGGGAAGAAAGGAGGTAGGGAGGAGGAGGAGGAGGAGAGAGGGAGATCAGGTACAAATATGGTGTATGGAGAGCAGAAGAGCCAATAATTGTTTTTGGGAGTTGATGGTAAGACGAATTGATATAAACATTTAACAGTATAATATAATGTTGGTTATGTAATAGTATACATGTGGTTATTTGTTATGAAAATGAAAAAATAATGTGTGTGTGTGTGTGTGTGTGNGAGGTGGGTCAAATGAGGACCCAGATTGTTGGGGTCAAAATGCTGACTCTGTAAACTGCTTAGAGAGCCTGTAAAGGACTGTGAAGTGATGTATAAGTCTAAGTGCTATGCTACCTTCCTCCTTCCTTCTTTCTCTCCCTCTCTCCCATCCATTCCTTCCATTCCTCCTTCCTTCCTTCCTCCCTTCCTTCCTTCCTTCCATCCATCCATCCATCCATCCTTCTCGGTTAGAATGCAGTATTGTAGGCTCACTGTGCCCACTGACATGAATTCGATCCTCACCGGCTCAATGTTGACTCACCTTTCCTTCCTTCCGAGGTGGGTAAAATGAGGACCCAGATTGTTGGGGGCAAGAGGCTGACTCTGTAAACCGCCTAGAGAGGGCTTTAAAAACACTGTGAAGCGGTATATAAGTCTAAGTGCTATTGCTATCTTCCCTCCTTCCCTCCCTCCTTCCTGTTAGAATGCAGCATTGCAGGCAAACTCTGCCCACAGTCTGGAGTTCGATCCTGACTGGCTCAAGGTCGACTCAGCCTTCCATCCTACCGAGGTTGGTAAAATGAGGACCCAGATTGTTGTGGGCAAGAGGCTGACTCTGTAAACCGCCTAGAGAGGGCTGTAAAAGCACAGTGAAGCGGTATATAAGTCTGTGTGCTATCTCTCTTTTCAGGAATAAATGGTGGAGACTGCTATCCTAGGGTTAGGATTTCTTCCCCTGCCCCCGCCGATATAACTTGTCTTCTTTGAGCATCCCCAACCTGTTGGAAGGGCTGAGAAGTAACACTAAGCTGAAGCCAATTGAATAAACTTTAGTGTCTAAGCTCACGTGTCACACAAGTTCAGTGTCAGTAGCAAACACCCAATGGCAGTGAAGCACAAATCCAAAAAAAAACCCTTTCTATTCCTACCTTCCATTGTACAATTCCAAGTTTAAAAATGTTTCTTTTTTTCTCTCTCTCTTTTAAATGATATTGAAGTGGGTGGACCAAGCTGGTTTGCTCCCACACCGGAAAACGGACATTTCTGCGGAGAGCAAGAACCTCACAGATTCAGAAAGAAGTCGCCTACGAATTCAGGATCGAGAGATACAGGAGATTTCCGATGGCGGCTGGTGTCTGAGCCTGCATCAGCCTTGGGCCTCCTTGCTGGTCAAAGGGATCAAGAGGTAAAGAGAGATCTGTCAGCTGGAGCACTTGGAGGTTGGGTTCACACGAGATCAGGGGTGTCAAACTCAGGCTGTCACGGCGGTGTCACATGACGCATTGGGATTTTTTCGCCCTCCCCCTTTGCTAAACCGAGCGTGGGGGTGGCCAGTGCATGACGCATCCAGCCTGCAGGCCGTGTTGTGGCCCACCAGCGGAGCTGGCAGCAGATTCGGACAGTGAGGAGGTTGGGGAGGAAGATGGGCCAGTCCTGGAGTCTGGGGAAGGCTCTGAGGAGGGCTCTGTGTCGGAGGCAAAGAGAGAGAGGGGGATGGGGCCATTTGCCAGTTATCAGCTGCTTTCAGAGTCAGACATCAGTGGGGCAGAAGAACAGCTGGAGCCTGTTCCCAATCTGTC